CCGATAATTATAAACCCTCGCTTGATTATGCCCGATTCATCTAATTACTACCCTCGCTATAAACCGAATGTTATTCAGTGAGTGAGACCGGTATTTGGGTTACAGCGACATGGTCGGTATGGTGCGGTTATTGATTCTGCTTTGGGACGGGCCACGCAAGTTTACTATTTTGGTGTGGACATTGGCTTGGAACGAGCACGGTACACAGGTTCGGAACATGTACAGTACAGTCATTTGTTCGGTACTGGCATGGTGCATTTGCTGCACAGTACGACACTCGGTGTTGTGCTGGTATGGTAACGGTACTGGCTGCTGCAACTCGAAACAGCTAAGTCGGGTTTGACACTTTCGCTTCGGTTTGGTCACTGGTTCAGCACGGACGTGGTACTGGGGCAGCATGCTGCGGCCTGCTCCCAACTTTCAGGTTCGGTAACTGGCTAGAATCGGTACGGTCACTGATCGGGAAATGGCAACATATTATTTGTGGAACAGATACAGTGTCGGAACTGGCACGACGACTATTAAATGTGACTGGCCAGAAGGCCTGGTAGGCCTGGTACTAAGGGTACTGGGACTAAGTTTTCCGCACGGTGAAATTTGGCCTTCGGCCGAAAACCTTGGTTGAAACTGCGGGTGGGATATAGCCTGGGCGAGTCGAAGAATCAGGGGACATTCGGACTGGTGAGGGGAGACAAGCATGTCTGGTGTACCCCGCCCGCCACTAACACTCTGGTCGGAGTTCGAAAGGCTTGGTTGATGAAGATGAGCTAGCCACGCTGTGATAGGGCAAAGGGATGATGGAGTGCGCCCGGTGTGCTCAACACGCGAACTGATGGCGGAACTAGATAAGGACTGGCTCGCACACCGAGGCTGTTTGTGGTCCTTGTGGGCGTCAGCGGGAACTTTAGATTCGGTCACGGAAAGCTTGCTCCTTCTGACTGAGCGCACTTGAGGTTTTAACCCGAGGTGTTTTGGACGGAGAGGGGTAAGCCAAGGGTGAGAACCAGATGGATGGATTCCTTCAAGAGTGAGTCTGTAACTTCTCTCGAGAGATAGCCCTCCATCTTAGGAATGGGCATCGGTTTCGTAAGAAGGCTGGGAGCTGATTGAAGTGCCCACACTGATGCAGGAATCGGGGCGAGCGTTATGCCTATTGTCTTTGCAGGCATGAGACCTTGATTCATGGTAAGATCTCGCCGTTTGGTGTTGTAAGTGTGTGATCATCTGCGAGGGAACACGACCTTGCTGAAGTTGGGTAAGTGCGACAATCGCGCCCCAACTGCAAGAAACGGTATGCAAAGTAAATGAGGGGGTAGAAGTGAGAGATGTCACTATCTTGATTACCACTGTTACGCATGTACCTGTTGATGATCACGTCCAGACACTCTTGAAGGAAGATATAACCAGTCGGCTTGCAGTGAGCCAGAAACCGAAAGAGGGTCAAAAGGGGGCACAAGAGCGTACATGACCTGGAGCGAATGAAAGGACGAATGCCCACATGAATGTATAAGTGAGAGAGAGAGCGCATACAGGAGGTTGAGCGTAAGAGAGAGGGTTGCCTAAACGACGATAGAGGGAAAATAAAAGGAGGGAGGAGTAATGCTTCTGTTACTGGGGGGGGCATCTGTATGTTGCCTAGTGATCTGAATTCCTGTGCTTCCTGACCGGGTTGGTAAATCGGTCAATCCAACGAATTACCTGTGCGAAACGAGTTTCTCGAGTCCTCAACGAGTTTGGACGCAGTGCTGCACCAGCTTTTCGGAAACAAGTATGTTGAGTGGGTTGCTTTCACATTGTAAATCGGACCTATCGATTGTACCGTTGACTACTAGAACAAGGCGGCAAAATTGGTATCGCAACTCTCTCCAAACAACCGTGATGAGCGAACCAATTATACTTTGAATGATCTAGCTGGAGGACTGGGCCGTTGGCCATCTACAAATTGAGTATTGAGCGTTAATTGATAGACAGGATAACCACTTCTAATTAGCAATTGAATGCTCTTTCGTCTAACGAGATACCAGTAGGCCTCTTCAATTCAAACGCTGCATGTTAAGCGGAAAAAACAAAAACTCAATCTCCACTGACATACTGAGGGATGGCTCTCTGATCTGGGGTAGACTGCGCTTCACTAGATTATCCCCTGACGATCGACGGACAATTGAGATTGGGACTGCGCCTGTTGAAAAGGCTTGAAGGTACACTAGACTATCCCTTGGCGATCGACCGACTGACGAGATATGCGCCTATTGAAAGGGCTTGAAGGTACTCACGAATTGGAACCGATTGGTGATTCTATTAAATTTAAGTCCAGCCATTGGCTTGGTTTCACAAGCAGGGAAGATCTCTTTCATTGGATCGTTGTCTCGATCACAGGTCGAAACACCTGATTGTCCTTTCGATAGAGTCCCATTTGAGTCTGAAATTGGCTTTCGAGTACGCTTGAGGGTGATCTTATCGGCTAGTTGGCGTTGTATTAATTTATTTTATTTTATTTTATTTTATTTCATTATTCCTTCTTTACTAAGGGGAGGAATTTTATGTGCATTTGAAAGGCTCCCAGAGAAACATATGCATATACGCGAAAACGGATAACAAAAATCGGTTTTGGACCTTGCATAGAACCCTTGGCTTTGGGCTGCCTTTCTTAACATTTTCATCGATTCAAAATCGATGAACTGTTCTTTTCTATTTTTTCCCCTTTTTGTTAAAGTGCTCGGGCTGTTTTGTGTTGCGCATCGAAAGACCTCTGTTACGTCCCTCGCTTGGCTGAACCATTTTCTGTCGATCTTTATATTGGCCAGGTCTCAAAGTCTACCCTTCAAACTCGAGGTCTGTCAGAAAAGCGTTTGCTTAGGCTCTAAGCACGGTTTCAAATTTGTAAGCTTGAGCAGTTTTGGATCATTTAACTCTATGTTACATTCTTCGTCATCTCATCTTCCCAGACGCCTGACCTAGCCTTCGAGTGACAGGTAACACCAACCCCTTCATCCTACCGATCGTTGAGGACCTCGGAAGCGGGCGCAACGAGTTATAGGCGATGTAACCCTTGGCTTCAACGAACGGTAGGCGACGCCTCTCCGGGTTTCCTCACAACCTTGGCGCCGTTGCCGGGAAGGGGCTGCACCCCCGAGGCCTCGGCCTTCCCCTAACAAACGGGGGTGCACAGGCTAATTAGGCGCTGGTTGATTAGCTTGATTAGTTAATTATCTATTTTTTTTTTTAAAAATATTTATTTTAATTGATTCGTTTTTTTCGAAATAACTCTTGATCAGGGCGTTTTTGTGCAAACCGCCCCCCGATCAAAGTTAAACCCCTCGCCGAGAAGAAAGTTTTGAGATCTTCGTCAGCAAAATCTAACAGTTAGAATTGAAGATAATTAATTTTATTTATTTATTTAAATATTATTCTAAAAATCTTATTTTTTTATTTATTTTGATTTCGGGAAATTGAGGCGGAAATTGGGGACGCCCACATGGGACAAAGTTGTTCAGTTTATTTCTCCCGACATTTCAAGACCTAGTACGGGGGAAACGGACAATGCATGCAAGCAATACGGGGTCCAATAGCGCACATTAACACAAATTAAATTGAAGAGTTTGTAATTTCTTTGTTAATTTGTTTAAGACAAAACGAAAAAAAATAAAAAAATGTAATCAGGTAACTGTTGACTTTGAACCTGGAAGATTCCAACAAAAAAATTTGAAGGTGATACGTGTTTTATGGTGTGTGTGTGGTGTCGGAGGGCGTGGTGTCCCGACCCTCCTCTGTGTGCAGACTCCTACGTAGTACCCGCTCCTCTCTCAGACGCCGCGACTCGTTGGGTTGTTCTCGAGCCTTCGCGACGCTCCTGGTATACCTGGATGGTACTCTGTTATGGACAAGTCCAGTTGGTGTTGTCCCTAGCAAAAAGGTGCGCCACTGGACTTTCCATTGGTCCACGCAGGCTCGGTGCCCTACTGCACAGTAGAGCACTACTGGCCTGTGGCCGCAGTAGCCGTCGGGCTCGCCCAGGGACGGGGAGTTGGAGGAGATTGCGCTGTCTTTTCGGCTTCGCACCAGGCTCCACTTAGTCGGGTTATGGGTTGGGTGCAAGTTGCTGCCACCGACGAGCTGAAGGACTAAGTGAGGCAAAAGGGGGGAAAAAAAAGAAAGAAAGGGTGAAAAGAAAATCAAACGTCAGGTATGAATCCACGCTTTAGTTCAGGAAACTCCAGTGGCTCCAGGTCACTGTGATGTTATAATTCCCTTGCTCCCGGAATTTTGTTAATACTAATATTATTTATTTTTACTATTACTGTTACTAATTTACTTCAAGTCTTTTTGGCCTCTCATTTTGAGGGAAGGCCAACGGTTTGAATTTCGAGTGCGGCCGTGGTCTGTGGCCTAGACTGGCCCGACCCTTCAATTAGCGCCCAGTGGCTGAGGAATCCGATTAAGCGTCGCGCAGCGACCCCAAAAGAGGGGCAACCCGCGACCGCTTTGGTAGGAGGCTTATCACCCCCCAGTGGAGAGTCGTAAGCCCCTCCTTGCAATCGCGCGCAGGTACCGGGTAGTTATAATCCGGCATTTCCTTTTTAGACTAGAAGGGCTGCCAGTCAGTGTCGCGTTGTGGGACCCTCCGCATGGGCTGTGGTCACTTCGCGCGGAAAGTTGGCGCAATGACCGTTGATGCCCTACCTTCTAATTTTCTTTCTTTGTTTTCTTGTCTTATTTTATTAATTTATGAATTATGAAATTACTAAAAAGACAAGATCTTGAGAGGTTTACCCGATCGTTTAGAGCATGGGGGCAGCAGTGAGTAGCGACCCTATAAAGTGAAAATAGGTTCTGGCCTTGGTCACTTGTACAGAGGCGATCTCGTTGCACTAGGGCACTAACGAGCTGAAGAGAGAAGGCTGGTCGACGTGGTAAGCTGATTGACGTGGTGAGCTCGGGGGTGGTGCCAGTGTGCGTGTATCTCACCCGCTGGCTGTTTAGACGCAGGAGATTTAGAGTCGGTGGCCTGCTGACGTCTGGTTTTCAAGGCAACAGCTATGGTTAGGAGAGGTGGGTTGTACGGCTACAGGGCGAGGTGTCTCCAGTTCCTGTGGAAATGGGAGCGGATATCTGGAGAAGGGCCTACGGTGACGGTCGTACTGGACTATAGCTACAGTAAACGAGAGACGAGACTAAAGATAAATGTAGAAGGAGGGAGAGAAGAGGAGATAAGGGCAGACCAAGGCTTGCAGATGGCAACCACAGAGGCAAAAGACCGGGCAGAAAGGATGTGCAGACGGGACGGGGTCACGAACGAGATGAGGGTGACTGTCGCGTACCTGGACGAGGGGATATCCAGGGGCACGGTGGATCAGGAAGAAGGACACTTGGATCGCGATATTGAGGCCGAGAGCGAGGAGAGCGATTTGGAGGCCACGACCCTGTCCTGGCATGGGCTGGACCAGAGGCGACGAGATCACCCGCCCGCCGAGCCTGTAGAGAGGGGCCCAGAAGCCAACTCTCAGCGACAGAGGGACCGACACCGCTAGGCAGGGACATGACTCTGAAAATAGGGAGACCAGAGACCAGTTCGCGCGGTGAGGGCGAGGCCAAAGTCGAGAGGCAGTTACGGGAGAAAAGAGGTCGAGACTATGAGATGCGTGGGTGAGAGAAGATCACGAGCCGTGACTGACGTCAACGTTTTGTCTAATCGGAGCGGCGAGATCACCACCCTTGGGGGATCCGAGAAGCAGTCCTCGGGCCATGCCGTCTCCCACTTCTAGTATGGTAATGGACAAGGAGTCAGTACGCATGGCACGGGTGACACGAGTGTGAGTGTGTGTTTGCGGAAAGTCGGTCACTTGGCACCATCGATGGGGTAGAGGCATGGGCGGTTATGAGAAAGAGGGAGGAAAGAGCGAGGACGAACGAGAGAGAGAGAGGCGTAGACAGACGAGACTATGTTTGAGAAGACGAGAGAGAACGCATGAAGAAGTCAGACAGGGATGAGGGAGCGGGATCTTCCCCACTGTCTTAACTTTCTTCCGTCGTTGTTGATTGTCGTTACTTACCAGGCGAATACAACTCATTGACGGTTCTCTGAGAGAGAGGGAGGCTGATACGGAGTCGTGATTGAGAGGGAGAGAGAGACACCTGTAGGAAGAGAGAGGATGGAAGAAAGTCAATGCTTGTGATTGGTTGATGTCAACATCATTCGACGGGTGTGAAAAACTCGCACTCACAGGGACCTGACGAGCGTTGCTAGTAAAGTCAAATCTCCTTTCTCCTCTGGCGTGCGGATGATCGTGTGTACGTGTGCGTGGATCAGGTGATGTGTGAGCAGATGTGCAGTGGAAGTTCATGCACTTATTGATGTCCATGGGTGAATAGGTTGTTAACATCACTAGTAGAGCTCATCACCCTTCCTTCTTGCTTCACCTTCTCTTTTCCCTTTGTCTCCGCAAAGGTGGCAATAACGGTCGGTACTGCACCTGGTTCCACTCTCTCGCTAGTGATAGATGACTGTGGGTGGTTAACTGTAGACATCACGGGTTACGTCATTGGCTAGGATCGCTTTCTTTGCCTCCACCTTTTCCTTATTTCCTCTTCTCTCGAACTCCGTATGAGCAGCGATGACGATGTCAGTAATTGAGGGTGGGCGAGAGCCCTGATGAAGACCAAGAGGAATGGTTTAGCTGTGAGCCGAGATGATGAGGTAACTTGCCGCTGTAAATGTTGACTGTGACAAGTGGGACCAGCTTGTGCCTGACCAAGAGGACATGTGAGGAGAACGCGTACGGGGTCTTTCGCTCTCGAGTTGAGTTAGCACACTAGTGGTTGGACCTTTCGGGAGTTGATCTCTCATTCAACGCTATCTTTCCTCTGTTCTTGCAAGGCGACCAAGATTTAAGTTTTATCGGGGTGACTATTGACTGTGAGAGATCGATTACAAAACAAAGGAGAATGTGACATTGGTGCTCAGGGATGGTAAACATGCGGCTCTTGTGAGAAACGGACACGCGTTTTCCCGCTGATGATGCTCACAGTTAATGGGGAACAGGGTAAGACAGTGTCAGAGGGAAGCCACGATGTGATTACTGGTGTTGCAGTGAGGTCTTTTTGCAAGATTAATCGCACACGGGTTGTGGCTAAAGTCGACTGAGTCCTTTCCCTCTCTCTAATCTGATATGTCTAAAGACACGTATTAATTTTTTCTTTCTGGGATGACCGCTCACTTATTGTTAGTGCTAAGGGCACTGCTAAGTAGTGATGGTACTCGGGAGTAATATCTGATAATTTTTAGAAGAATGTGACAAAGAATGTTGGTGATTTGACCAGAAATGCTGGTCTGAGTCATGAGAGTTTGTTTTGCTTGGTGGATGGGGCAAAGAGAGGCTTCTCGAATGTTCTCTGGTCTTGCGTGTTGATGGACGATGTTGGATGGGGCGGAGTAAAATGTTTGGGCTGGCACGAACTGACAGCAGGTAAGAGCTTCTAGGTAGTCTTTTTGAAGTCATCTCCCGGATAATTGGCTGTCGTGCCTGCAAATCATAAGAGCTCACTTTATCTCGAGGTTTTGGTCGATACAGGGTGAGAATCGTCAGCCCGGGCCTGTGATGTGAGAACGAAAGGGACGATCGAGCAGCAGATAAGGGCATTGGCTCATAACTCTTCGCCACTCATCTCCCATCCCCTTTTTTCTTCGCTCTCAGTGTCTGTCCCCGAGAGTCTACTCGTATGGATCTTGGTATCGCAAGACTGCTCTCTACGCCTTTACTGGTGTGAGATCTCACTGAGAAAATAAACTATCACGTAAAGCATTGGGTTCTCATTGTGCTAGTCGATTGGACGCAAGTCTATCTGCAACCAATTGTTAGTCACTCTAACTCCTAAAAGGACTGGTCATAGGGTTCAAAGGAGTACGGGTATTTAACTAATAAAAATGATTCTTATGTTTTACCTACTTTTCCTAGATGAGTAAGAAGCAGTGCCTCTTGACGAAGGTAGCTTACTTACTTGTTAAATTCCTGATAGATGGAGATTAGTCTTGTTGTGGAGCGCTGGTTACTCCGTATGACGGCGATGAGCTAAAACCTGTTTCGAAACGTGCAAGTTACAAAGATGAGAGAAGCATAGGGTGGTCCCTGTTCCAGAGCGAGTGGCAGTCACTGCGAAGAGAGGCATGGCTAAAAGTGAGAACCACTGTAAAATTGTCTCCTGATTCACTTAATCTCTTATGGTTTGTGATGTGAAGTTTTCATCTTACACATTGCACCGGCAGCAACTCAGTGCCCCCCCTTTTTATGTTGTGCCTGGTCATGCGTGCATGAAGGTAATTTACCGTGTCACTAAGGAGAAGTGAAAACTCTAGCAATCTCTGTCACACACCTAGAAGAATATAGCTCAAGGGGAAGCGTCATGTGATGAGTGACTGAGAACGTTTCACGTCATCCTCCCTTTGGGCGTACTTTATACAAGTGGGGATGGTAACCTTGACGACGCTTAACCGAGCTCTCTTACTTGCAGACCAGGATATCGTACTGTCAGGGTCTGAGCACGACAACGGGGCTCAAAAGGCACTGCTATGAGCCATACCAGCCTCACTAACGATAACCCCTGATGAGTCCTAAAAGTTCAGTTATCCATGAGTTCCTACGACTCTCCCTTCATTCAAATGCTACATTGAGATCGGTGCAGCCTGATCATTGTCCAAGCCTATGTTACTTGGCAAAGCTTTTAAATAAGAAAATGTCAATATTTATTGAGTGCAACATTCTAACTGTTGTACTGAGCTCTCGTCGGTGCATCTTTAATTTGGGGACGAGTCCGAAATAGAGTGTCCGTACGATGAATAAAACGGGTTTGAATATTGTTTAATATTTGCTCTTTCATGAGCTCACCCATCAACCGTTAATCATTATCCAGTTTCAGCCTGATTCGTGTGGCTGAGTATGGGCTTGAGCTCGACACGATACATTGTAAGTCTTTAACACAGTCTGCAGGCTTGCACTATGTGGGACTGCCCGTGTGTTGAAAATGAGATTAGGCCGAACAGTCGACATATACCTCTACATTCCTCTATCTATTGTAAAGGCTGAGATGAAATGCCAAGTGAGTATGAAACAAGTGCTCCTGGCTCCGCATAATAATTGTATCTGAGCCTCAGCTTCATGCTCAAAATCGACTACACAAAAAGAATGGATGGGTTCTACGCTCAGACCTATCGAGTCATGAATAGACTACCCTTTGGTTCAGGTCTTGAGTGTAGGGTCTCGATTGGGGGAAGAGACTTGTGAGTTGCCCTCGAGCTCCTATACTCAGCAATCCTGCGAAGGGCGCTACGTTCCTGCTATTACTGCAGGGGTTGGAGTAGGTGTCGTGTCCAGGGTCCTGAAGGTAAAATCGTTTGAGATAGGCATGTTGAGACACATCTCTCAAATTGGGTGGTGGTTCATGATAAGATGGGCTGTGCAACGGTGAGTACGCAGATCACCTCATTGTCAATCGGGGCCGCTGCAAAATAGCTCGAATCTAGGTGAGAATGACGCGATCAGGTCCAGTCACTCGGTGACGTAGTCTGTATCACCTTGGAGTCTTGTCAAACCCGCCAATCAACCCGTAGACCAACGCTATAAGCCTGACCCTCTTTCAACATTTCCTTTTAAGGCGGCGTCTGGTACGTGCTACGAACTCTTCGTGTCTGGGGCACAGTTACTCGGGTCTACCTCAGCACTAGCACATAAGCACGGTTCTGCCACTTCTGGTCGGTGAGTTTGACTCGCCCTTCATCTAAGTCAGAATTACTCGGGTTAATCCTTCTCCCCACGAGTCACTGACAACTTTCAATCTTTGGAATCGTTTTCCTCCCTAAGCTTGCAACTTGACACAACAAACTGCGTTCCGTTGTCGACCGGTAGAAGTGCTCTGCCGGCACACTGACCGAACCCTATGCCTCGCGCCGCGTCTGTCACCCACGGGAGGGTTGGTCGGGCCTCCTGTAACCTGCACAATCCACGTTAGTTCTCGCACATACAAAGTCGACTAAGACTGACCCGCGTCGCATGAACACAAGTCTCATAAGGTAGCGTTGGGGACAAATAAAAAGAGCATTTTCATTCAATCCAAAACAATGGGGTTCTCTGCACTGTTCCCAGCCTCAGGTGTGAATCCCTCGCCTAGCAGGGGGAAATCGGTTTGGGTAGTTACGGATCTCTTATGCACTCTGAGCCTGATCCTCCTCCCAATCGGATGCTGACGATATCAGGCTCGACGGTCCCAGGGAACCGTGCTAGAGCTCTCCGTTGTCGAGCTCATCGGTCCGGCACCGCACCAGGGCAGCGCGGGACCCTCCCGACCATGTCGCGCAGGAGTTGGTTTAAAATCCTTCGTCGCAATGTACATGGAGCTTCCTTAAGCCGCTCCGGCCGAGTGCGCCAGCCATACCTCTCGCGAGGCCCTACGACAGGAAAGGGCCTACGCGAGGCACAACCTACCTCCACCTTATGGGAGCTGTCACCTCCCTTCGGTGAGCGTATCCCCGCCGAGCTACCAGTCCACAGTACGAAAGCTAATCAGTTGCAATCGCAAAGGTGGACCAGCCGAGGGCGTTTCTCGTTCGCTGTAGCATAGGGGGTAC